CTGCATTAGATGTTGCTAGATATAGGTTTAGGGTATCCCCTAGTCGGGCACTGTCCACTAGAGCATTTTTGTTTTTCTATTTTCGCATTAACGAGAGCCGTTTGATGTTAACTTAAGTGCAACTTCAATTGGTTACGAAACCAAAAAGTTAGTTGTCAATTGCGCGTTTATTTTGTATGCCAAGTAGGGTCTTAGGCGTTGCCAGATTGCTTAAACAATTGCCGTAAAAAATATGGTATACCCTGGAAAATTTTAGTATTTATGGATTTATTCACTTTCTTTTCTAGAGATATAGTACATATTTGCTGAGATATAGTATATTTTTATACAAGAAGTACATACTAATGACATTATATCGTAGTAGATTGATGTAATTCTCAAATTTTCCAACTATTGCGAGCGATTACTTTTCGAACGGCCCTCGCACTTATCTACATTCAGAGCTCAATGCTTTTCTATAGGTATGGCCTGCTGCCTGCAGCCGGTTCCAGTTGAAGGCCCAAACTGGTTGCAGGGCCTAAATCGAAATTAGTCACAACAACAACAAAATATCTTCTACAAAGCTGTTATTAATTAACAAGCATTTGTGAGGAGCAGAGTTTCTTAAGACGACAAAAAAAAACAAGTAAGACGTTCTAGTCGGGAGCACCCGACTAGCGGATACCCTGAACCCTCTTATTCTTACACCAGCCAAAAAAAAAAAAACAAAAATAGTTTCCTCGGCAGTGCTCGAACTCGTTACTGGCCGCGCTACTTTCCGCCGCCTCTAATCAATAGCCACACCAATAGTTAGGTCTTAATGAAACAGAAAACAATACAAATGCAATTACAATGATGTTGATAGAATTCAAAGAAGACGCGCATGAATGTGTGTGTGTACATGTATACAGAAATTCTTGGAATTTGCGCTTGCTGCTGCACGTGTATATTCGTGTATTCTCAAAATGACAATTGCATTTAAATTGTGGCTTAATAAGTTAGGCAATACAAATTGGTTTACTAACATGATATATGTATAGCTTTGCGGTGGTAACGGAAAGGTGGCGATAGCTATAAAATGAAAGATACTTGATATATATAAACTATTCTAGAAGCTACATGTCAAGTTTGGTGACTCTAGCTCATATTATTTGCCGAAATTGTTCAAAAAACAGGATTAAGATATCGATTTTGATCGATTACTTGGAAACGGGGCAAGTTATATCGGAATTCCGAATATCGGAAACAAACTCGATCTGCGCATGGACTAGGAGGACCTACAGCTAAAATTTCTAGCTCTTATAGGTTCTGAGATCCTTGCGTTCATACATACGGACAGACGGACGGACGGACGGACGGACAGACAGACGGACATGGCTAGATCGACTCGGCTGTTGCTGCTGATCAAGAATATATATATACTTTATGGGGTCGGAGATGCTTCCTTCTGCCTGTTACATACATTTGCACAAATACATTATACCCTGTTATAGCTGTAATCCGATAAAAGATCGACTCCAAGTCGATTTGTTTGTTAAATAAGCTAAAGAAACTGGTTCAAAAATAACATTCAAGTGGTTCCTACGCCATAGTTCAGGAACTTTTCTGGGCATATGGGAATTCTCTGGGTCGACATCTTAACTGTGCTTTAACGACAGCAATGCAAATTGCGTGCATTTATTTCATTTGCTGTGATATGCTCTTAGCAAAACTTAAGCCTATTAAAAGCAATTTTCAAAACATTTTAGCATTCAGTTGTGTGCGTGTGTATGTGTGTGTGTGTGTGTGTGTGTGTGTGTGTCAGAGCCAATTACTAGCGGACGGCTAAGCAAATTCTCAATTACATGAAAACCAAGTGCAGCTCAAGAGGCCAGCCCCAAAAGCAGGTAGCTCTAACCGATGTGGAAAGCATCTTTAAGCCGAAAACTTTAAACGCTTTTTGGCTTATCGCAAATGACAAATCTTAAAGTGTGCCTGCAAATGGCAATCAGGGCGCACAGAACGGGCAGCGGGAGGAATAGCAACATGGAAGCGGCTATCTGCAGTACGCCAAAGATTGAATACCCTTCATAGAAGTGCCTTCAAAGGAAAGCTATTTTATATTATGCTTATCATACAAATATCATATAGTAGACCGATGTTGGAAGGACTTTGATCGTATGAAAGCAGTTTGGTAGATATCTTGAGAAACAAATGTTTTCTTTTATGAAAAATTTTTCTATCAGAGCTTTATGATATAGTAGGCCAATATTGAAAGGATTTTGGTCCTTTGTATGGAGTATGGTAGAGCTCGTAAATGTCAAGATTGGCTAAGATATCTTGAGATACAGAAATGTTTTAGCACAAAAACTGATCTATGACCGATTTGAGAGCTTTATAATATTGTGGGTCGATATTGAAATGTTTTTGGTCAAATGTTATGAGTACTGAGAACTGGTAAATTCCAAAAAGATATCTGAAGAATCAAAAAAGTTTTCCGTACAACAACTGATTTATGTCAGATTTTTCTTTCTGGGAATAGTCGGCTGATATTAAAACGATTTTGATCGTATGTTATGAGTACAGTAAAACACGTAAACGCCAAAATTGACTAAGATATATTGAGAAACAGAAAAGTCTTCGTTTATGACCGATTTTCTTATTAGGGATTCATGATATTGGAAGGATTTTGGTCATGTGTTAAACATATGGTAGAAATCGTAAAGTTATCATTTTAGCTAAGATATCTTGAAAAACAGAAAAGTTTTCGTTTATTCTTTTCTTTCTTTTACCAGAGCTTTATAATGAAGTATGCCGATCTTAAAGGGATTATGGCCATAAACATGAAGTATAGTAAAACTCATAAGGGTTAAGATTGGTTAACATATCTTGGAAAACAGAAGAGTTTTCCGTAGAAAAACAGCTTTATGACCGGTTTGTCTCTCAGAGCTTTATGATATAATAGGCCGATATTGATAAGATTTTGGTCATATATGATAAAGTCAGTCAAACTCGTGATTGTCAAGAATGGTTAGGATATCTTGAAAAACAAAAAAGTTTTCCGCACAAAAAATGATTTCTAATCGATTTCTCGAACAGAGCAGTATATCTATATATCTATATTAGTATAGTAAAAAAGGCACGATATATTATTATTATATTTATTAGTATTATTATATAAACGATAAGATTTGGCCGTATGGAAGAGCTCGTAAATGCGAAGTTTGGTTAAGATATCTGGAAAACCAAAACAGTTTTTCTTAGAACTTATATTTAAACTCCTGTTTGGGGACGCAGATATACTCTGTTGTCTGTGCGTTTCATGTTGCGTGAGGAACTTATAATACCCTACCAGAGTGAGAGAGAGGGAGAGAGAGAGAGCAACAACAACAATATGGCCAGCTTAAATAGGCCAATGGGCAAACATTGCCCAAAATGTCCAAAATGGCGTAATGCTCCAATTTAACTGCAGTCGGTGTAAATGTTAACGGGATAATCGCCCAGCGCCATCTAGCGGCGTGGTGTGGGTGCATGCCAAGCACACACACCACCTGCCCACCGCCCACCTCCCACCTTCCGCCCCACGCCACCCCGTCAAAACACTCAGCCAAGCGAGAGTCCAAAAGAAAACGAAAAGCGACAACAAATAATCGTGAACATAAACATTTGAGTCTCACTGTGTCTAACGGGCCCCAGCAGAGTAACCCCTCCTCTGCCCCATCATCCCCCACCAAAAAAGAGGAAGTGCTTTACGCCCCTGTCTAGGGGGACCTGCAGGGGAAGGGGAGCGGCTTGTGTAATTGTCGCTAAGCTCAGTCAGGAAACTAGCCAAAATGCAGGTAACTATCTCTGAGCAAAATTGAAGATTTAGATTAAGAATCTCGTGAAAATCGGTTTAGTTTTGACGGAGTTATGAGTGTGGAAAATTTGGACCCATATCTATATAGGATTTTTGTGGTTAGACTTTTTACATAAATTTCGACCGAAAATGATGTTGCCAGATTAAAATGACAAATTTTTCTACATACCAAACCCTGCATAAAAAGCCAAACACCGTGAAAATCGATTGAGTTTTGACGGAGTTATGGGTGTGGGAAATTTGGACCAATGTCTATATAGGATATTTGAGGGCACCATTTTCACACGAATTTCGACCAAGAAAATTGTTGCGAGATTTCGATGCCAGATTGATCAAGAGGCCTAATAATAAACAAAGATCCAAACCTCTTGAAAATCGAATAAGATTTGACCGAGTTATGGGTGTGGGAAATTTCGACCTATGTCTAAATAGGATAATAGTTGGTATACTTGCCCGTGGCACGTTTAAGATAAATTCTCTCAAAGATTTTTTTAAATGAGTTTTTTACCGACCTTTCATACAAACGTTTTTCGCGATTTTTCCAGACATGACGAATTTCCCGAAAACCTGTCGTAACGTGCACCTTTATCACATAATTTAAATCTGTGTGTCTGTTGAGCTGAAATATTAAAAACAAAAATATATTTGTAAATATTGCTCTTCTACGCAATTCTCACTAATTCAAGTGAGGTTTAGCAAGCAAGCTGCGTTTTTAATCTAATAAACATTATCTCTCTTTTTCTGTTCTTTCAGTGATGTGATTATATTAAACTTCGTCTCCCGCTCACTGATAGATAACGATAAAATAATCAGGCGTTAATTCACAGGTGAGTACATAATTACAAACATATATCTATCTACATATATAAAACTGTCTGTCCTGACTGGCTGACTGATTCGATCGGACTCGAACTCATTTCCAAAGAGATGATTCAAATTCATTTGGGGGGTTTTTCACACTTTTCGGAAAATAAATTCCCCTCTGGAGGAAATAGCGGTGAAATATTTTTTGGGTGAAGTTTCTGGTTCCAATTCATATTCTAGGGACTTTATAAGATTCCTTTGAGCTTTCTTTTCCTTTTGGGGCAAGTTTTATGTTTTGTCCGATGGGTTTCAATATTATTTTCAAAGCCCTTCATACGAATTCCATATTGAGCCTTAAATAGAGAAGAACTCTCCAGATTTGTTTAGCTCTAGGCAGCTCATGAATCTAAAACTGAACTATCGAAAAAATCGTTTGTGTAGTCGAAAAATTTCGGACAGCTCCGTCGAAATTGATTTGTATTCAGCTGTTTAAGTTTGGGCATGTCAAGATATCGCTATGGGGATCTAATACTAGAGGCCTTTATGGAGTTCCGGCGCCCAATGGCTCTCGAAGAAGTGGTGGAATATGTGGCCGAGATGACGGACAGATCGATTGTCGAGGTGCGTCTGCCCGTGGACAATACACTGACAGCTGCCTGGCTGCATGGCTTTGTGCAGCGGGAAAATGATCTCTATTCGCTGGTGGAGGACGCGAGGCCTCCTCCTGGTGGCACCGATCGCAGGACTCGCACCAATAGCACCACAAGCTATAGGAACAGACACAACTGAATGCCAGCAGCAGCAGGCTGTGTGATTTTTAGTTCGATTGAGTTATAAAATTGGTATTGAAGAACTTTGGACTATGAGGTTGATTGTGGATCCACGGACTTACCAAGGTCAAATTTAAGGCTCCTCGATTTAATGGGATTTCCTTATGTTGACACACTCTTTAAGGGTATAAGACGCAACTCCCAATTCCATTCCGAAGGACAAAATAATTTGAAGGACATTAAGTCTAAGGCACAAATCTTAATAGGGCAACTGTAAAATTGTTCAAGAAAAAACGAACGAAAAAAAAATCAAAACCTTTTATAAAGTACATAATAAAAAGTCTTTAATACGTTCTCTGCACTTCGATTCCTTTAAAATGATCAGGTCTTAAATATGGCAGATAAATGTGTGTATATACCAAAGCGCAAGGCTCTACATTTCAATTTTGGTTAGATAACAAATAAAATATTATAAATCTTAGTTCTCTAGACAAGAAACAACATACTAAGTTTGGTGCACCTAGCTCATATAATTCCCGATTTATGCTTAAATGATCAAATATCAAGAACGGCAGGAGATATTGATAAATGATCATTTGCTCGTTCTGCGTACTTTACAGGTGAATATATATTTCAACTTTCAAGGTGCTAGCTCGCATAGTTCTCGAGAAAGGCGTGCAGTTGGATGGACGGACGGATATGGCTAGATCCAAGCAGCTGTTGATAATGCTCACGAATAAATATACTTTATGATATGGCAGACGTTTTCTTCCGTCTGTTTTATAAATTTTCATACAACGTTTATGGGTTGAGGATAAAACAAGTAAGAGGTTCTAGTCGGGAGCTCCCGACTGGGGATACCCTTAAACCTCTTCTTCCAACAGGCGATAGGTATAAAATGAAACATACTTGATGTATATATACTATTCTAGAAGCTACATGTCAAGTTTGGTGACTCTAGCTCATATTATTTGCCGAAATTGTTCAAAAAACAGGATTAAGATATCGATTTTGATCGATTACTTGGAAACGGGGCAAGTTATATCGGAATTCCGAATATCGGAAACAAACTCGATCTGCGCGGGCACTAGGAGGACCTACAGCTAAAATTGTCACTAGCTCATACATACGGACGGATAGACGGATAGACGGACGGACGGACGGACCGACGGACAGATAGACGGACATGGCTAGATCGACTCGGCTGTTGATGCTGATGCTTCATTCTGCCTGTTACATACATTTGCACAAATAAATTAAACCCTTTTTACCCATTTTTAATGGATTCAGGGTATACAAATTAGCGATGCAATTCCCAAATGCGAGATAATAATGGGAATATATACTACATTAACTTGTCCGAGTACTATCTATCGAAGATCTCAGATTTTGTTTAAGAACCCTATTTACAGTTTAGTTAGGAGAGCATTTTATGGTGTTCGACATTTTACAAGCACGGGAAAGCCCCTTAACTCATCCGAGTACTATCTATCGTAGACCTCAGGTTGAAACCAAAATGCCCCTCCTTAGCTTTGTTCAGCGAAATCACTTTAAATTGCTTGGAGACTTGGCGACGAGATCACGTTGAATTTTCTGCAGATTTCAACAGGCCGCCCGGCACGGTGACCCCATCGAAAAAAACAAATCCACAGCTAAATGGAAAACAATTCGCATTTGTTGTATATTCGACGCCCAAAGGGCGGCAGGTGGATTGTCGCCTCAAATTGGTCTGTCAGGCGCTTATAACGTGCTCCACTTCCGTTAGCGCTAAAAAGCCAAACAACTAGGACATTGGCCGACCAAGCAGCTCCGGTCAGCTGCCCCCCCGTCAGCTGCCCCCCTCAGGTGCCACCGTCAGTTGCCCCGGCAGGCAGCCCGTCTGGCAAACTCTCAGGTATTCCGGCTGCCCCCTTCTACAAAACTAAGACTATTAAATCACATTTTACGAGCCTTAAGTGCACAATTAAAAGCATTTCGTGAATGTTTGAAAGTGTGGCGTTTTCTTGGCTACAGTGGCCAACGCACCACCGCAGCAATTGACCCACCCGACCCACCTAAGCCACCTGCTGGCCCCGTCCAGCCACCTTGTTGCCATTTGCTGCTCTTTCGGCTGCTTTGTCTGTGACTGTGTCTAGTACTTTTCTTCTTCTCGTTCGCTGGGGCGTAATTAAATTTGCAGCTTCTGCCCCTTGAGAGGGTAGGCGGGATGGTGTGTGGAGGGGGGGGGCTTGTGGGCTGCAGCTTTTGGGCTCTGAAAAACCAAATAAATCGATTATGGTTTGATGTTTATTTTTAAACATGCAACTCGCAAGTAGACCAAGTTTTGGGTAACAATGCTCAAATATGGCATTGGCTTGCTTTGGGGTAGGGGACGGGGGATTGGGGTGTTAGAGGGTTGGCGGCCATTTAGAATCCCAAAGGAATCTGAAATTGTAGTGGCAGCTGGATATGCGAATGGGCTTATACTTTTCAATGGACTTCTCTTGAATTGATTTTTTGGCCAATTAACATGGCTTGCTTAAAAATAGCTTGCTAATAAATGGCTAAAAATATTTTAAAGGCGGTTTCAAAATGATCAAAAATGTCCTAAGAGCGGTTTTGTAAAATGGCTTTAAAATATTTGCAAATTTGTTTTGAAGAAAAATTATTTGTAGTGTTTGAAAGCGTCCCAATCCTGGGATTTTAACTGGTTCGAAAGTGGTTGCAAGTCTTTTTTTTGAGCGGTTTAAAAATAGCCAAAAAATGGCTAAATATATTTTAAAAGCGGTTTCAAAGTAAACAACAAAGGGTTTCTGAGGGCTTTTGAAAATTGACTTAAAAATATTTTCAAATTTTTTTTATATTCAAAACTTTTTCCGAGTTGGTTCGAAAGTGGTTTCAAAATTGTTTGTGATGGGTCGAAATCATATCTGAGACCTTTACGAAGCCTTATTTTTTTTGGCATTCCTTTAAAAAAGGCTTTAAAATACTTACCCAATCCGTTGCGGTATTTGCTCAAAATGAGTTGAGGGCGAGGGCTGTTGCTTAATGTTAAAAAAACTGGTACATAAATGTTTTAACTGTGCTGCGACAACATGGCTTTCAAAATTGATAAGATACAACAAAGTGTGCGATATAATTACAAGCCCTACATTCCTACACCTGACTGGGGTTCGAACCAAGTTCCTTGTTTCTGCCTTGCTGCTAATCAAAGCCCCGTCAAGACGCTGGTGCACCATCCTCTAAAAGGGGGGCCAAAGTCGGGCAGGGGCAAAACAAAACGCAACTAAGTAAGTAATATGAACTTAGTAGGCGTGTGAAGTGCACACTTAATGGGCTGTTGCCTGCGGGTGGTAGGCTAAGCATAAGGCTTACATGGTTGGGGAGGGGGGGGGGGGTATGTGGGCGGGGGCTATGTGAGGCTGCAGCTCGTGTCGCTCACACCACTTCAACGTGCTACACACACACACAGCCCACCCCAATGCCACTTCCAGCTCCAGCTGCAGTTTGAGCTCGAGTTCCAGTTCCACTCTACGCACACGCCTAAGTGCGGAAGCATGTTCAAGTGTGTTGAAAATGGAAAGCAATGTGTTACTAGTTCCTCTACATCTTCCACTTTTTCATCATCATCTACTCTACATTTGCATACCCTGTATATGTGCAGAGCGCATTTGAGGGCATTTAAATGCGGCGACAGTGCATGTGATGAGATTACTTTTGAACCTATCAAAAACCGATCTAAAATTATTTTTCAGTAAATAGTCTTGTCTAAAAAATAAATTTCTGCCAGTTAGAAAAGGTAAACAAACATTAATATTTGTAGAAAACATTTTCTTAAATTTCTTAAAATAATTTATTCAGGGTTTTTAGTGTAAATATATTTTAATATATTATTTATATAATATATGTTATATATTAAATTTTGCAAATATGCATTCGATTTGTGCACAGGGCATTTGCAAGTCGAGCAGACTCCTCTGGCTCAAGCTTAATATTTTCATACATATTTTAATTTTTATTTTGTTGTTGTTGTTGTTGCTGTTGCTGCTGTTGTTGCTTTTGTTGTGGCATGACGTCACGCCCTTGCGGCCCAGTTCAGACATTTGACAACTCAAAGCAGCAGAAACTTGCCCCCAACGGCGGAAGGCAAGGCAAAGCGGCAAGGAAGCAGCCCTGACGTTGACATTAGCTGCAATCGCCGGCTCTTGCGAGAACGTGGCAAATGTGATGGACGCACACAGTTGGTGAAAGGGCAGGGGGGTGGTGTAGGGTTTGGCTTTCGGAGCGATATCTATTTCACGAATATACCAGTACTTCCGGCGCTGGGCGCCTTTTGGATAACCTGCTTCTGGCGGCCAAGGGCTGGGCAGGATGTCGCTACATCGGGGAGTTGGGCCAGCGTCTGTGCGTGGAGCTGACTTTAAAATGCAACATTTATGTAGTTTATTGCATGTTTGGACACGTACGTGACATTTTGCCAATCGCACAGGATGCGGCCCAGCGATGACAACCGGATATATGCATATGCGCGCACCAAGCAACCAGCCACGGCTCTTTGTCTTTGGTCGTTAGCGATTTGCAATCTATGCACAGCTGCCGGTTTCGCATTGACAAAGGCCTCAAATCCCAAGCCCAACAGTGCGCTACAAAAGTCAGCTGTCAAAGTGGCCACATTTGAATGGAAATCATGCCAAAGCCAAATGCACTCAACTAACTCATACGCAACGCGGAACGTACATGTGGAGGATAAGGACTGCCTGGAAATGGGACAGCATTAAAATAAGGGATCCACCATGGCTGAAGATTTAATTGGCTCAGTTTAGGATTCAAGCTGATGTCTTGCCTTTGGGCTTGGTTGTTTGAACTGTTTTTCATGAACCCAGCTTATGGTTGAGTTCTAAGTTTTTCCTTAACTGAAAATGAATAGGCGAAGAGTTCGGTTCGGATCACGGCCATTCCTCAAAACTAGAGAATACGTACGTTGTATATATGTTATTGGACCCTTTACGTATAAAGTTATATTTGTTGCAAGTATATATATGGAGGTTTGTGTAAATCGCGTAGATCGCAGAAACGACTAAAGATAAAGACTTCATATATATATATATATATATACTCCTATATCAAACGCAAAACGATAATTTCTAATTTCTTTTTGCATCTCCAGCTATCGAAGCGATTTTGAGAAATGTACAAATATAAAAAAGGAAAAAAAATCAAGTTTTGTAGATATATGTGTAGAGGAAAGTTCTAGTGATTGTGGCGGCTGCTCGCAAGCTGTGTACAGGGTATCTCCTGGTCGGGCACTTTCTATTTGAGCACATTCTTTTTTAGGTATTTATTTATTTTTTGCTTGGCATTAGGTAATCCCCAACTGTTCGT